TACTGTGTACAGTTAGAGTGATTTTTCTTGGTGTTAAAAATACTACCCTGTTATTTCTATAACAGATTAGTTTGCCAAAAAAAGAGAGGAAAAACTACTAATAACATAAAGGATTACTCTTTATAAATATTACTGTTAAAGAATGTAATTTAATTCAGTGCTCTAATAAATTATTTTAAAATTTATTACTATCATTTATTAAACAATAAGGAGACATTTTGGCTGCAAATAGTGATAACATCTCTGTAGAACTGTATTTGGATAGTAATTTTTTTTCCTGACACAGTAGATAATTAGGAATTATAAATTATTCTTACAGTCTTAAACATATTAGCTGGAGAGTATATCAGACTGTATTTTGTTCTTGTTGCCAGTTCAGGTCTTGATTTTCAAAAATTCTTGCACAGAAATGCATGATGACTTTCAGTTTCTAGCAGCAAAGCAAAAGTGTGTTGCTCACCAGACAGGTTTAGATGAAGACCTTGCCACCTGTTTACATTTTTGAATTAAGTTCATGTTTGTGAGAAAGTCATTATTGTCAGCTGTTTTGCTAGCATCTCAGCGTTGTTCCTAGTGGTCAGATCACCTCCTTTCAAATGTTTCCTGAAAAAATGGTGATACTAATTTTTTAGCGGGGTCACTGGGTAGCTAAAATAAATTGCTTCTGTTAACCAAATTTGGTTCTTTCGTACGAACTTGAAGTATGTTGACAGGGTAGCACAGCAACTTTCACAGACATAGGTAAACCAGTGTGTGATATGTAATAAATGAGATATGATAATATAGAGCTCTGGGTCTATTCCCACAGGCTACTTCATAAATGTTTCGATCTCTTCACTTTCGGTGCCTCACCAGAATGGGTGAAGAATTTTACAACCTTTATCTTCCAGGGACTTAACGGAGGAACTGTAACTCTGGTAATGTGCTAGGCCATGCAGAAGTAAAGGAGGCCTCTTTGCTTTCTTTAGATGCTCTGTCATGATCTGGATCTTTATTTTTTACTCTATGAATTAATAATAAAAACTGTTGGGTCTCTCTGTCTTCCCTCTGTTTTGAAGTAGTTAATTAATAAGGATGTAAGCAACCAACATGTATCATTTGGTAGAATGCACAGTCTTGCTCTGCTGAACTCTTGTTAACCCATATGACTGGTTAAATGCCACTAGATTATATATTTGAGGTTATTACTGTTCAAATTATCCATGATAATAGACACAGATAATATGCCAACATACTTCAGGAGTATGTCAGTGCAGACACTTGCAGACAGTTGCAAGCTTGCTCTGCCCAGACACTGAGCAGGCTGTATTTGAGCCAGTTCCAGTCTGGAAGCCATCAGGATGTTGTGTGGCCCTATGCCCAACCTAAACCACATTGTCTCTTAGATAAATGAGGCTTTACAGCTTCTGAATTGAAGCTGACTCATATTTGGGTAGCTTCAAGACTACTGGCAGTGTGAGTTTGCATTCAGCTGTCCATCTCTGTAGATATATTCATCATTCCAAATTGCTGTTGAAGGACTTCAGTAGAAATCTCCTTGCATTCTTGTTCAGTCATCTCAACATTCATAGGTTTAAGGCATCCCAACTCCACTTACATTTACTATAAATATAAGAATGAAAAAACATATTGACAATAATTTGGGGGGGGGGGAGGGGGCAGTTCAAACTTGTGTATGTGCTGTGGGTTTGATTCAAATCGTAGAGCATCTCAGTGGAGCAGTTATGGAGTCATACGACAGCAGCTATTTCACATTACTATTAATCATTATTTCCTGGAAGTGCTTAGTTATGTATTTTCCCAAGATAGGAAAAGTGGTGTAATGAATGGAATTATCCTGTGAGCCACAAGACAATAGAGAAAACAGATTTTGTTAACTTTTCCTTGCAAAAACATTCTTATAACTTCTGATTGGCTTTCATAATTCCTCAACACCATCAACTGAGAAAAAGCATGCCATGAGCTGCAAAATCTTGTGGTTTTGGGGCTTCAGAATCCAGAGTGCAGATTTTTCAGGGCATGTTGACTGTCTCTCCTCTCCTGTGTAAGGTTTTAAAGTGGGGCTAGAGAGTGTTGCACAGTTGAACAGTTATGACCACAAGAATGTGTGATCATTTTGACTGGCAATACAAAGAAGATGGATGTGTGTGAATCCCATTATCAGATGTTGACATGATACCAAATAATTCAGTAGTTCTGATTCTTCTTCATTGCTAGTCAGGTTTGTATTATCACTGCCAATTTTGAGGCAGTAAAATAATCTAAACTTTGGAGGAGAAGTAAAATTTCAGTATAGCTTCATATAGTTTTCAAGTCAGTTTAAAACTTTTATTCTGTTTGTGGCTTTTTACAGCTGTAATAGATGTTATGCATAACTAAATGATATTATATATCATTAGAAACCTAGTAGAAGGAAAGTATTTACCATTACATTTTCTATTAAATGAGCAGACATTGTAATTGGTCTGGCTGGAATTGAGTTAATTTACATAACTTAGAAATTAATCTAAATATATCTAAAACCCTTGGAATTTCTTAGATTTATATTTCTTTACCTATTTTCATTCTGAGTATGTTGGGTTTGTGATGGTTATGTCAATGTTTACTTTCAGGTATTAAATAAGTATATAGTTAGACTGATAATTGTGGTATAAATAGTTTTATGTTTTGCTGTTTACCAGAGGTACCCACTTTACAGCAACAATTGACATGAATTAAAGATTTAATACCACTGGTGCTAATTACAGACAGGGCAAATCTTTTTCCTACATATCCTGAAAACCAGAGGAACATTGTGAAACTTGTTTTTTAATAATGTTCAAAATAGCAAAAAAATTGTTTCTTGATGCAAGTTAAATATTAGAAAATATTCATTGATGCAAACCACTGGAACACTGTCAAAACTTCTGACTAACCTTTCTGTCTAATTTTAATGCAGTCTGCTATCAGATAACTGTAGAGGAACTAATCTAATCTCATTTCATTTAGAAAAAGGTATTAATGCTATATACTGTTTCTTTGGGTTTAAAGTCACAGAAAACCTGTTGCTGACACTTTCTGTCAGAAAGCTTATGTTATCACCCCTGAAGAAAACCTTCACGTTCTAGGATTAGGACACATTTCTAAAACAAAACAAAAAAAAAAAAGTACAGACTTGTATGTAAAAGGTACTGGGGAGAAAAAACTGAAATTGTGTTATATTTTTCTTTCTGTTTGAGCCAGATGCTCAAAAGAAGGCATATTTAGATTTTATATGGTGCATAAATTTTCTGCTTTCTGCAAGGTAAGAGGGATTGTTGAAAACAGTAACAAATCAGCTTTCTTCTAGTTCAGTGCATCAAAAATTTAAGATTTCAATTAAAATGTTGTGGAATTGATATTGACACAATGATATTGACACATGGCACAACACATGAAAACACTGAAGCTCTTTTACAAATTACTATGCAGCAAGGTTTGTGCCTTATTATGAGCTTTATAGAAAAAAACATACCTATATCTCATTTCAAATTAGCATTATGGGTATGTGACCCTCTGATATATTCTTTTTCTTTAATACCTGTTATTTAAAATATTTAATAGCTTTCATTTAAATTAAGACTTTCGGAGACTTATGGCATCCTCTTTTAAACATCATTTAACTGTGATTAGAATGAAGAAGACAGAATAATAAATGAGGCTATTTAAGTGTATGAATAAAATGCAACTGTTTATCTAAAATTGATCCATGTCTCATAACTTTGAGAGTAAAATAAATGGGTTGTTTTTCTTTGACTCCATCAGAAATATTGTCCCATAAATATTTACATTAATACATTAGAAACTTTGAAATAAAAGTGAAATAGCTTTCTTGACATTTTTGCTGGCAGGCAAAGGACTATGAGAATTCCAAACTTCTAGCTCACCTTGACTGTATGAAGTTCATGAGCCATATTCTTACATTTATTAGTAGTTGGAGCCTAAGATTAATATATGACTCATTTATCCATGTTTATTTTTTAATGATTGATCTTATATAGTTCTGGAAAAAGGCATCGGCCATAACATATTCTGTTCTAAAACCTATTAAGTATTATATGCTTTTTCTTGGCTGATAAGTCATAGTCTGTCATTGAACACATTGAAGATGAATATATTTCTTTTATTTAGGAAAATAAGGGACAGATTATGGCCTTGCCAACACGGGCATTTTAGAGTACAAGAAATAATAATATACTGCATGTTCTGTGCTTCCAACTGCATGTTGTAAAAATTACCACTGTAATATGTCCTCACAAACTATTTACAGTGTGCCCCCCCCTAGCTTCTATGTAATTTTATATGTTTCTGAACGCTGTAAATTTCTGTTTGCTTTCTGGAGATTAAGGCATCAGGATTCCAAAGGAAAAGGTTCCTCATAGACAATTAGATCAAGGAACTTGTTTTCTCAATGGTATATTTTGCTTCTAGAATTCTAGTTTTGTGATGCCACAGTGACTAATAATAAATCCATAGGAAAACATTTAAGTAAATGTGAGGTAGATTTCCAGAGATTTCTTTACTGAGGTTACTAGGGTACAAAATTAACAGGATAATACAAAAATACATTTTATCTGCATCACTTTGGGCTTTGTTATTCAATCGGTGTGATTTGAATAATTCACAACAGATTTATGTAAGATATTCTAGAATTCAGGAAAGTGAATTTGAAAAAATAAGTACCAAATATTTTTAAAAGCAAGACATTTAACAAAAATATTGTTAGATATCATATTGTACTAAACCATACTGAGATAAATGTTTTATGAAATTGTTAAATAATGAAAAATCTATAAAGAGAACCTTTTGGCTAATCAGTTTATTTTGTTATTTGATTAGACTTGACAATGCTATTTAAAGAGTATTCAGAAGGTAGTTGATTGTGCTAGTGGTTAAAAGAAGCATCTTGTGTAGTATGATATAGCAGTATATGTTCTGTTTTGATGAGATATAACAATTTTTATTTTACTTTATTTTATCAGACAGGAAGCTTTGCTTGCTGCAATTAGTGAAAAAGATGCAAACATTGCCTTGCTTGAACTGTCTGCTTCAAAGAAAAAGAAGACTCAAGAGGAAGTAATGGCTCTTAAACGAGAGAAGGACAGATTAGTACATCAGTTAAAACAGCAGGTGGGGAAACATTCATTTTCATACTTTCATGGCATCAGAAAATGGACATTGTTTTCTTTTGCACTATTTTATTCTAACCTCGTATTGAAAGTCTTCTAGCCAGGTCTGACATGTGACAGTGGTTACAAAAGGTAGGAGGTGTTCAGTGTAAACGTTTATTGCTTCTCTATGGCTAAGTATTTAGCTGCATGTTTGCTTGACTATATGCAGCTATATGCAGCCAATACACTTTCTGTTTTCCTTCCTCATACAGCTTCCAGCCTTCTTCATTATGTGAGACAGAGGAGAGCAGATGCTCTTTGCCATAAAGCAGGACTATCCATTCTGTTGACTCTTTCTAACCTTATTCTGTTCCGTTATTTGCCTATCTATTGTAATATATTTGTGTTTTCAGAAGGTTTCAGACTTTCTGAGAGGCTATCTGGAAATTGTGATTATCCTTAAAATAAATTCTCAAATGAGTAAAAATCACCCTGTCTTCAACACTGTAAGTCATTTGAGGTTTTTAATAGAAACCCCATGTTATTACAAAGTCTAGATATAGATTTTATCACAAGTAAATTTGATTTATGTTCTGCTTTATTAATGAGGAAAATAACCATACTTGACATAGTACACATGTACCACAGTACATAGGTCTCTGTCTAATTAAAATGTTTGAAACTCTGCATACTGTGCGGTGGCTACTCCCCCTGACTTTTAAAAGGTAATAGTCATAGCCAGAAGTAGTACTGTAGACGAGAGGACAAAAGATCTTCAGATAATCTAGGTACTGAAGACCTGTGCTGTGTGTCATGTATGTTGTTAAACACCTTTCCTCTTTCAGAATAGGTGACAAAGATGAGAAAGATGTTTTCAGACCATGTCTGAAGGTGTTGTATCTGATGTTTTCCTTTGTGTGACATTTCTGAATTCTGTGATTGTTGCTTGAGGAGGAAAATACCATCTGCAAAATCATTCTGGTTTCCTCAGCCTGCCAAAGTAACCACTCTGCTGTCAGGCGGTGTGCCGCTTTACAAAAGAGCATGCTATCTTAATAATGTTTAGGAGATACTGCACAGTCAGTGTTATGAATTTTTATTCTGAAGCACACATTGCATATTGTAGAACTCTGAAGCCAAATTCTCAGCTTCGACTCTGTGTGCTCAGCAACAGCAAGTTGAGTAAAGCCTTTGCTGCTATGCTAAATTCCCAGTAGCTCTGGCATCATGCATCTAATCATTGTAGCTTTTTCCCACAGGTCAATAAAAATAGGAAACAGCCCCTGAGCATGAACTTATCATCCACTTGTGATGCTGGCTTCATTACAGACATTCCAGCCAAGTACCTGTGTTCCAGCCATGATGCACTCATGTCTCAAGTCAGTCAGCTGGCCAGGAGACATTTCACCCAAATTTTATATACTAAACAGGCAGACATGCTTTATGATTTTCAGTACTTCATCCCACTCTGCTGCATTGGAGCAGATGATGTTATGTTCCATATAATTTTAGGGATTTTTGTTTTGAATTGTTTTGGAAAAGAGAAGTCAGTTATTTTCTCTTTTAATTATCTTCTTTTTTCACCTTTATCTTTCATTACTGAAGAATAATTGAATATACCACTTTGCCATGTTCCATGACACCTGTCATGTGTAGTTTTTAAATATTCATCAGTCTTGGGCAAACTGTTTGGTTTGTTTTTTTTTTTTTTTTTTTTTTTTTTCCATTGTTTTTGTTTGTTTGTTTTTGTACCTTTAAGTTATTGCTGAAAAGAAGTGTTCAAAACATTCATAGCTTTCTTCAGACAGAGGGAAGGAACAGCAGAAGAGCATTGCTAGAGAGGCATTGTTTTGGAAAACTTCAGTTAAAATTGTAACCAAATACTTCAAATACCTTCATTATTTATAGTGATAAAGATCTTCAGTAGGCCTATTTAACTAGATTAAATTGATGCCAAAATAATCTCCCTGTTATCTCAGACACCATGGGGGGGGGGGGGGGGGGGGCGGGCGGGCAGGGAGGGAAAAAGAGACACCAGGAACAGGAATGTGGTTTAACTAGGTCACTACTTTATTACACTTAAGAATTATCTGATAATAGAGGTTGTAGAGATCAGTCATACTTCTTTAGTCCCTTTGGGAAGAACCCTTGTCAACCCCAAAGCCTTCACATGTGCGTCCAACACAAGGGCCTGTTACTGCTATTCTTCCTTGCTATGACTGTGCTGCACCAGGGGGGAAGTGACGGATTCCACACTGTGTGATATATCCACTCTGTTCCTCAGATGGCAGACATGCCATCTCCCAATCTATTTCTGGTTCACTAGAACTTCAGTGAATGACTAGTTGCAACATCAGTTTTTTTCTGATGGCCTTATTTGTTCCATCCTCCATTTCCACAGCTGTTACACTGCTGAAAGAAAAAAGAAAAAAAAAATCCCAACTTCTTCAATCTAATGTGATCATGAAAGGAGTGATATTTATAAATAGTAGAAGATGGCTCACTAGATAATGCTAAACATTAGGCCCCCAAATCCATACCTGTTCTATACTGTAGGAGGAATTTTTGCTTTGAGAGGCAAAATAATGTAGTGGGCAATGATAAAAATCTGTATTCCCTTCATGTATGTCCACAACAGCAATTGGATTTTTGATGCATCTACTGATCCAATCAAGCAGGAAGCCTTCTGTTCATGGCTACAGGAGGCTGAGAACTTACCAAGGCTGCAGGGCAAAGGATGAGGCATTAGAAGGGAAATCATTGTCTTCCTCTGGAGAATCCTGTTGATGAAAGTAAATTTCCTAGAGTCAGAAATTTTTTTCATACAAAAAATGTGAGTCCTTCTCCTTAACATTGCCCCGTGCAGGACAGGGCCATCTACTGCTCTTTCACCTAACTCTGATGAGGCCAGTGAGGGTTGCAATTTAAGGGAAGGGGTTGTGGAGTCTTAATGGATCTACTTTGTAACATTTATAGGTGCTTACCTAGTTGGAACATCAAAATGTTTGCAATTTCATCAACTGCTACTCAAAATGCTGTATAAGAGCTGTGGTGGTTCCCACCATGTGAGATCATTGTAGTCATCAAAAGCTTGCTTCATATTTAAAGAGATAGGGCACAATATGAAGTAGATGTCTTACAGGTTCAGGAGGTCAATTCTATTAAACTCAGTGGAGTAACCAAAAATATTGAAGTTACTCACAGAATTTTATTGTTATTGGATTAAGGCCAGAAAAACAGATCCTATCACTGTGCTGTAATGTATCACAGACTTGCACTGAGGTTGAGTTGCCTAAATGCAAGTGTAGCTGCTTTGACCAACCACAGACTTACACTGTGAAAAACTTTAATCACTCTGGTAGATTCCTGAAGCATCCCCGTGTATTTAATATTTCAACTGGAAGCTTCTTGGCTCTCCATAAGCTTCCTTAGGATTGCTTCAGAAGAAAATTAACATTGTGCCACAGTCAAGGAATATGAAAACTTCCATGCGAGGAAGAAAATTTTCAAGAGCTTTTCAATATTTAGGAGTAACAAGCTATTTTCTAAACAGATGCTATTTTGGCAAAGATAAAATAAATACAATGTACTGCCTGTTAGGCATGAATAGTCATCTTAGTGTATTCATGTCATAATGTTATTTTATGTCTTTTATTTTTAATATGGTTTGTCTTAAAATGAAGTCAGTATTACTCAGTTTGGAGACAAAGTATTTACTTCCTAAATGTACTTCCCTCCCCCAAACTCAAAAAGACACCTGCATCCTTTTATTTTTAATTAATCAATTATTTTTTAATTAGAAAATGTCATTGTTTTCTATATTGACAAATGTACTGATTTCCATTGCTTGACAGGGCCTGCAGGCTGACAAAGGACATCCCAATAGTAATCTAAACTAAATTAAAATTAAACCAGAAATAGAATATGTCCAAAACCAAGGTTTTAAAAAAATCTCAATTGCAAATTTCAGGGTTTTTTCTCTTTTTAAATAGTTAATGTCTTAAATAATGCCCCTAGTACCAAATATGCAGTTGAATGCTTTTCTCCAGTTTTTCTATTCTAATTTTTCTGGCCTTTGGGAACATCAAACAGATTGTAAACTACCAAGACATTGATTTTGAGGTAATTTGTTACATTTCTTCACACTGAAAGGAAAAAGAAGCATCTTAAAGAAATTAAATATACTGCCTTTGTAAGGGAATGAGAACATCTGTGATTTATTTTAGATATGAAGCTACAGTTGTACATATATTAAGGATCAAAATATTATTTATGTGAATGAGTTGAGCAGTCTTTTTATGAATTGTGACTGTGTGAATTTAAGTAAAACTGTTATTTCTAAGCTGGAAGAAAAGCACTGGTTTTGTCTCAAGTGCTGGCGTATGTTTAGAGGTTTGTTCACATTATATTTTGATAATCTAGGAAAATTACTTGTATCACAATGTATCTACTTGTAAAATTAGTAGTAATAATACTGACCTCTGTGTTGCAAGCACCTTCCCATAAGAAATGAGCATAATTAATTGTAGTGATTTAAATACAATTTAGCAGCTGCAATCTGTCAGTTAAATGTTTATTGTTTAGTGGTTTAAATAAGCGGGAAGCATAGTAATCCACTCCCAGCAAAATTGTTTTGATTCATACACCAAATGCTATATTTTGAGAGGCATAGAACTTTGTAGTAGGCTTAAACGAACTTTCAGAAATATAGTATTAAACAAAATCACCACGAGGCCTTGGCTGAGCGATTACATAATATTTATAATAACCCTAGCCAAGATTCCTTTTGAGAATTCTGAGACAGTTATTTTTAGAGAAATTTGTGTAGTGATGCAATCCTTCATGAAATAATTAGCTTAAAATCCATTTTTGGAATATCTCAAGAGATTTTGGTGAGAGCAGAAGACACTATGTTACTGATTCATTCTGAACTTGGATACTGTGAGAAAATTTCCCAGTTGCCTCTTTTCACTTTTGGGATATAAAGCCAAAAATGTAAGTGGAGTTGGCCAAAATGCA